CACATGGAAGGACTATAGTGATGGGAAAATCCTTCATATAGCAACTGTGTGTGGTTCTTAACCTGAACCAACTAAATAGGCATTTACAAAGTATTTGGACAGATCAACTGATACATATTGCAACTATAAATTTTCACTTGGAAAAATTGCAAAAATCAGATATTACAAAGCCTTCATGTTCATGGGCAATTTTGATGCCAGGAATCAATGAAGACTGCACTTTTTTTCCTTTTCAAATGTTTTAAGAGTAAAGCATTCTAAATGCTAGGTAAAGTAAAGGTTTTCCCCTGACATTAAGTCCAGTCGTGTCTGATTATGGAGAGTGGTGCTCAACTCCATTTCTAAGCTGAAGACATCTCTAAGATTTTGTGGCCAGCATGACTGCATGGAGCACCGTTACCTTCCCACCAGAGCGGTATCTATTAATCTACTCACATTTGCATGTTTTCAAACTGCTAGGTTGACAGAAGCTGGGGCTTACAATGGAAGCTCATGCCGCTCCCTGGATTTGAACCTGTGACCTTTTGGTCAACAAGTTTAGCAGCTCTGTGGTTTAACCCACTGTGCCACGGGGGCTCCTCTAAATGCTAACCATGACCGTTTATTTACCGGTATTCTGAAAAACAAAACAAAACATATCTGGGGAATGAGAAAGGAATCAAAGATTTCTCTAATACATTAGGGATTTGCTGTTTTCTTGCTACTGGTTCAGAACACATTTTCCTTTCCAAAGGTGTTTTCCTGAAGAAGGTCATCTGAAACTAGCACGACTTTGGAGCAACTGAGACATGAAAGTGCAAAAGAATGTTCACATCATTAGTGCACAAGGGAACATATAAACATTTCATTAAGAAAATATGATTTAAATAACAAACTTGTCAACTTTCAGATGCATTACGTGCAACAGTTCACATGGAAGTCTTAAATATATGTATATAAACTGGTGGGAGTTATTAACTTCCCTTTGCTTTGCCTTGCCTTGCCCTTTGAATACATGTATTGGCATGAAAACGGCATGGGTGATCCAGGCATCCCCAGGCAAAAAAGATGCAGTTTCCAGAGGATAGATGTGGAAGCTAGGAGGCTTGAAAACACAAGGATGCTTTTTCAAAAATAGTAAGATATAGTTGCATTTGGAAGAAGGAAGTAATTTCCAGGCATAATCACCACAAAGCACACTAATGAGAGTCCCTTGTAAATATGTTCTAGAATTCAAGGGGGGGGGGGGAGGGCATAAGTTCCAACTCAGTCACTTCCATCATATGCTCCCTACAGAATATTTCTTTGGCGACAAGCTGATTTGTTTTCAGTTCTGTTATAAATAATAATAATAATAATAATAATAGTATTATTTATTTATTTTAAACATTTATATTCTGCCCTTCTCACCCCACAGGGACTCAGGGCGGAGCACAACATAGATACAGCAAGCATTCAATGCCAGGACATAAAACCATAAATATATACAAACATTAAAATAATTTATATTAACATTAAAAGTTGCTTTAAAAAGTCTTGGTCCCACAGCCAGGTCTGAAGGACAGAAGGGAAGGGGCTGATCTAATATTGACAGGAAGTGAGTTCCATAGCCAGGGGGCAATCATTGAGAAGGCCCTGTCTCTCGTACGCGCCAAACGCGCCTGTGATGGTGGCGGGACCGAGAGCAGGGTCCCGCCACCCTGCTCTCAGAAGATCTTAGTAATAATAATAATAATTAGTAGTAGTAGTAATAATAATATTAATAACAAGAACAACTTTGTTCTTGTACCCCGTCTCCATCTCCCCGAAGGGACTTGAGGCGGCTTACATATGGCAGAAAGTGCTTAAAACAGAGCATAAAATGAACATACAATAGAATACAATAAAGGAAAACATACAAAAACAATAGTTTAAAACTCAGAACAACGCCCAGTAACTTATGGTGACAACTATTGTAAGACATGGCCGGACTGTAAACAAGACAAGGGAATGGGATAGTGCAAATTGTAGCTAAGGAACAAGGTTATGGGATGAAACTGCAGTGTTGTGTCATTAATTGTGGATCACTGGGGCTAGCATTCCCAAAGGCCTGTTTAAACATCCAAGTCTTCAGATCCCTATGGAAGAAAGTGTGGTTTGGAAGATGAGGAATATCCAAAAGTTGATTTGAATAGAACAAATGGTCTTCAGGTATTGGTAGACTCCATTAATCTTCCAGCTTAAACCCATTTGCGGATTTGAGTTTTTGAGAATTTGATTATTCATTGATTAGATTAAAATGTTCTCTCCTAATAACCATTTCTCAACCTGGGGGTCAGGAACCCTGGGGAGGGGGAGGAGTTCGTGAGGGGGTATCAGAGGGGTCGCCACAGACCATCAGAAAACGCAGTATTTTCTGTTAGTCATGGGGGTTCAGTCTGGGAAGTTTGGCCCAATTCTATCGTTAGTGGGGCTCAGAAAGCTCTTTGATTGTAGGTGAACCATAAATCCCAGCAACTACAACTCCTAAATGTCTAGTCTATTTTCCCCAAACTCCATCAGTATTCACATTTGGGCATATTGAGTATCCATGCCAAGTTTGGTCCAGATCTATAATTGTTTGAATCCACAGTGCTCTCTGGATGTAGATGAACTGCAACTCCAAAACTCAAGGTCAATGCCCATCAAACCCTTCCAGTATTTGCTGTTGGTCATGGGAGTTCTGTGTGCCAAGATTGGTTCAATTCCATCATTGGTGGAATTCACAATGTACTTTGATTGTAGATGAACTATAAATCCCAGCAACTACAACTCCCAAATGACAAATTCAATCCCCTCCCCAACCCCACCAGTATTCAAATTTGGGCGTAATGAATATTTGTGCCAAATTTGGTCCAGTGAATGAAAATACATCATGCATATCAGATATTTACATGACAATTCATAACAGTAGCAACATAACAGTTATGAAGTAGCAACAAAAATAATTTTATGATTGGAGGTCACCACAACATGAGAAACTGTATTAAGGGGTCGTGACATGAGGAAGGTTGAGAACCACTGCTCTAGGTCCTCCAGTGCAATTCTATTGTAAGCTTCCAATGGCACTTGACTACAGTTATGCTGAAGAACTTCAGCATAGATAGGTGGTTTTCCATGTAAACACACTGAATTTTTTTAACTTGTGGGTTTTCACATTCACAGGGAACCTGTGCCCTTCACCCCAGCCTATGTAGAGGACTGACTATATTAGTTCTTCACTTAAGTACTACCTGGCTTGAGGACCCGAATACCAGAAAGGTTTTGTTCTACCATTGATTTGCCTTGACATTATTTTCTTGAGAGGCTCCTCATCTGGATGACCCAGCGATTAAAAGGGAAGCTGGTGGAGAAAGCCTTGGACATAGCAGCTTGTCTGCAGTATGCTTTCCTAAATAATAAATGTGATGTTTTAGCAACTGCGTAGGAAGACTATTTAAAGATCCAATAAACGAATTATACTGGGTTTTATGTTATTGCTGCAACTCTTTGATATGACTGTTCTATTTTTATTTGCTTATGTTTGAATATGATTAGGCTTCGTGGTAGCAGTAAAAATAAAGGGTGCGGAAGAAATATTTCCTCACTCAAGAAAGCAGGGTGTGTTGGTGTCATTTATTTTTGGCTAGAAGTATGAATAATGGAAGTGCTTGCTCCGCTCTCACCAAGCATAAAAATAGATACATAAGGAGACCGAAAACATTTTGTTTATGGATTTCCAATTCTCAGAATGCACTCAGCCCCACTTTTTTGGTCATACCACCCTCCATTAGGTAGGGGCAAGGGAATTATGGACTTTATCAGAGTTTATGTCTCTTCTTGTCACAACAACATGCAGGTAGCCCAGGACTGCAAACCCTAAAGGCAGCAGATCCTGCCTGATCATGGAGGCTAAGCATACTCAGCCCTGGTTAGTACTTGGATGGGAGATCACCAATGAACACCAAAGACTATAGGCTATATTTCAGAGGAAGGAACTGGCAAGACCACATCCGAGTATCCCTTGACTAAGAAAATCCCATGAAATCAGTATGTCAATATGCAACTTGAAGGCATACGTAAACACACAATATAGAAGTATCAGAAGCATTAGCCACCTGAAGTAATACACCAGTTCTTAAAAGGCAGTAAAAGCATGAACTTTACTTCTAGAGATAGAAAACTGTATTGATTGTTGGAAATAACAACCTTCTTCAAACCTCCACAAGTTAATTGTTTTGTATATAATTCAGATAGCTTATTGTATTGTATATGTGTATTGGTTTGCAGTTTTTCTTTAACTCTTTGTTGTGGGAGGGCCTCAGACCATGTGATCATGTCTGGGCTTGTTCAGGACTCAGACTCCATTTTTAGGAACAGTATGCTTAGAGACTCCATTGGACTTTCAGACTAGACAGAGACTCTATTAGACTCTCAAACAGAGAGATGCTTATGAACTGTTGATAATATGAAAGATACCCTCTGTTACCTAGACAGAGAAACTACTTCAAATTCTATCTGTAACGGGACTGCTAAGCAAAGTATCTGTATGCTGAATGCATGAAATTTGTGAGGAAACCAACTATGTTCCTTGCTATGTTTTGTGCATTGGTATACTGTTGTCCCTAGCAGTTTGGAGACATATCTAGGCATATCGGTTTAACAGCTGAGAAACCTAATTGCCTTCCATGAATGCCATTTTCTCAAAGGGTTATGGCATCATTTAAAAAAAAGGTTATGACTTCTAACCCAAAGATCATAAAATCTCCAAAAGGTTATGGAGATTTCCATTTTCCAAAATTGATATGATGGAAAAATAAAGACTAAGGCAGTTGAATGTAAAATGGCTTGGAAAAGACTAGTTTTACCCTCCATAGTGACTTGTAAGACCAATGGAATCAGTGAAGGAAATGTATTGGCACTGCATGGAAGTTCTGCCCCTAAGAGTTCATGGTAAATGAAAAATTGATTTCATCACAGCATTTTTAACAGCCCAATTTTATCCTGAGCAAGAATATACACAATAAGGAGGTATTAATCTTTTATTATGCTCTGCATACATGGCACAAGTGCATTCAGATTTGGAGCACGTTTTCACCATTGAGACATTTCACATTGGAAAACGCTGACAGTACGATGTGTTTCAAGCTACAGAGCTTTCAGTTTAGTAATTCCAGTGGTATTTATCAAAATTGAACAACCCACAATTAGGCATGTGATTCAATAATGCGGTCTCAGTGTAGCAACATCTCTTGCACTCAACTCATAAGAGGCTAAAGCTAATGTAAACCACTTTAAGAAGCAAAATTAAAAAGGGAGACCAACCCTTGACCTCCTATTGGGAAATTTCAAGGCAATGGCAAATAAATGGCATTTGTCTTATTACTTGAGTGTGCTATTAATAATTCTCCCACTTATTTTTCAAGCACCTTTCCATGAAAAGACTGGAAAGTATGAAATATATATTCAGGGACTCTGAATACAGGGTTCATATATTATTTTTCTTTCAAACTTCACTCCAAACACAAGATTAAACCTGTAGTGTCTAAGTAAATGTGTAAACAAAGAAAGAGCAGTACGTCCAGCTAATTACAATTAGAATAATAGTTGTGCAGTATGTAAGGTACCATTAAACTAATAACAGAGATCACCAAACCAGAAAAAGTATTTAAGAAAATCATGTAATCATCTCAGGCATTGTATTGCAGTATTTATGTCTTCAGTAACCCATAGAGATACCCTGTACTGAATACCTTGCAAAATAAATGCAAAAGACTACATAGAGCTTAAAACTTTGAGCTTTTTGATGACTTATTGTCTTTTGCAGTCCAGTAGAGACCGGAGATGCTCATTACTGTTAACGTTGGGAAGCAATTTTAATCCCAAATATTTTTTCTTGCCCTAGGCAGAACTCCACACAAAAATGTAGGGCAGGGAGTTCTTTCTTTCTTTCTTGTTTTAGTTTGTCCCATTTTTATTATTTTCCAGTAAGAGGAAAGTCTGACTGCAGTGTTGCCTTCCTCTGCAATAATATTTCGTATTTTGACATAAGCACATCTTAATAAATTAAGAATTATAGGCCGCAATGAAAAGACGTGTGCGATTGCGAACTCCATAAGAGCAAAGACTTGGCTGTCTTACTCCATCTTACTAATGGGGAAAGTTTGGCACACACCAATTCTCAAGATGCAACAGTTACAAGGGGGAAATCTTTCCACAGAATTCACTGCCACCATCTTGAGTCACAGCCACTGGATCACAACAAATAAAAAGTAAGATTTCATGAAACTGAATGGCTCAGGAATAGACTAAAGAAAAGCTGTAATCTGACAAGTTTAGCGATTTTGTTTAAAGAGAGCTTCCCCCAAATCACAGAGGAATACAAAAATATTGCACTTAAAAAAACATATGGCAAAAACCCAAAACAAAACACACCACAAATTAAGAAAAATAAAATGGCACCATGTGCTGAAACATCAAGTACATGCAGTAAAATGGCAGATGTTTGCATTTTTTATCCGCGAAACCTGGAGATTTTAACCAATTCATCAAAACATTATTTGTTAAGCAAGATCCAAGGCAGTAGGAAATGGTCAAATTATATATATACACACAGAGTAGAATCTCGCTTATCCGACATAAACAGGATGTCAGATAAATGAAAATGTCGGATAATATGGAAGTTTCCATATCTCTGTCCTGGCGGAGATCATTAGTGAGTGAGTTCTCCTTCTGTTTGGTTTTCCAGATACAAGGAGAGGACTCACTCTAATGGGAAAAAAGAGCATCAAATAAGGAATTGTAATGAAAAGGTAGATAGTAAAATTCCACAAATCCTCATGACAACTGCCCATCTTCATTCTTTTCTCTTATTTTCTCTTCCCATATTTCCTACAAACTCCCATGTAGCCAAAACTTCTCCTTCCTACTTAGATTGAACCATTGCTGTGCATGGGGGGAGGAGAGGCAGAACCATTATGCTCTGGCTCCTCCTTCGGAGTCCAGACAGTGGTACCGGCCAAAATGAGGACGAAAGAAGGAAACTAAAAACATAGCCTCTAAAGGAGAAATGATGGAGGAAAAGGGGGGCGGGAGGCATTGGATAAGAGTGTCAGATAACACAAAAGGTTGGATAAGCGAGACTCTATTGTATGTATGTTTGTGTATATATATATTTGTGGTGTATGTGTATGTACACACACACACCCAAATACAAACAAAAGGCAAGAAAGAGGCAAACATAATGCTGCTGCAGACTAATGCGCCAAAGAAACAGAATTCTGGTACTTCTATCCTTCCTTCAAATTGTGCTACCAGCTGCATTTGGCAATTTCATAAACAAGTGGGATTTAAATGTATTTGGCTTTATTTAGCAGCTCCACGGCTGAAGCTTAGCAACGACTGTGTTCAGTATGAAACCTGGTTTTCCTGTGCCATAAGGATTTGCAACCATGTTAGTTATTAACCAGTGCAACATGCATAATGGTCCAGTAACATGACTTGGCACAAAGAACAGTGATGATGAAAATAAAAAGGAACATGCAGCCTTCTGATTTGGTTTCCTGTCTCTTTTTAAATGGTTAGATAGCATTGCAATGTTTCCAGTTGCTTTTGAAGGATCCGTGAAGAAGAAAAGGGGTATTACATTGTTTACACTAACATGCATGCTGGAAGACACTCTCTTCAAGCATGTTTGTTTTTCTGTCAATAACCCCCCCCCCCCAAGATATGAAAGGGGCATTGAATAATTTGTTCTATGCCACACACACAGGAATAAAAAGTGGTAAATGCAGTGTTACTCTTGACAACCATTAAGCCCTGTCCTCTTTATATGGTGGGTTAGAAGGTCCCATAAAGTAAGTACTTATTCCAGCCACAATAATATTTACTCTGTCTATAAACAAAAGGGAACCTCGGACGCGTGCCTAAGTTGACATGACTTGTCTCCAAAGCACAATCTGTCCTTTTGTTCCACCAACTGTAGTGTGACTTGACATTCAATGGCACTGAGCAATTGCACAGGCTTGCAAAGAGAAATACCACATTCCCTTGACAGATGTTTTCAAAAAGTCCTGTAGAGCCTCTAGAAACTTACAACCGAAAACATCATTAAAACGCCATCAGGACGTCGTGTTCCTGCACGCTAGTGTAGAAAGGTCGGCCAAAGAGAAACGAATGTAAACCAGGCTTGATCTTCTCCGCCAAAGCCATGACTATGTTGAGATCGCCCTCTGCTGTTAAGTCCAGGTCTATCTTCAAGCTACGAAGAGATTTGAAGGGCTTTTTACCTTTCTGCCTGTGGAAGTGTGGGGAGAAAGACGCAATTAGAGAGAATTGAATTATTTGAAACTGTGTTGACACCAAACCCTTTGGCTTTATACTTACGTGTCATCTTCTATGTATTTGATGAGAGTTAAGGCTTTTCTATGAAGGACTAAGAGGAACTGTGCAAGGAACACACTTCTCAGAGACAATCCAGGTTTCAAATGAAAGACCTATTGAAGCCATGTCAGAAAAAGGGAAATTAAAAAGAATACACATCACATGACAAAGTTTCACTCTTCAGAAGTGCCCCTATTCTTCTTCAAGAATGAGCTTATGAATGTCCTTTATTACTTTAGTAACAAATGTAGACTCATAGAATTGAAAGAGACCACATGGGCCATCTAGTTCAACCTCTTTCCATGCAGGAAAAGCACAATCAAAACATCCCTGACAGATGACCATCCAGCCTCTGTTTAAAAGCCTCCAAGGAAGGATCTTCCACCACATTCCGAGGCAGAGAGTTCCACAGCTGAACACTCAGGAAGTTCTCCTTTCCTGGAATTTAATCCATTGTACAAAGTCCTAGTCTCTGGGGTAGCAGAAAACAAGCCTGCTCCTTCTTCCTTATGATATTTATTTATTTCTTACATTTGTACCCCATCTGTATCACCCCCGAGGGGGGACTCAGGGCGGCCTGAGTCAAATATCTCCTCTCAACCTGCTCTTCTGCAGGCTAAACTTCTCCAGCTCTTCAAGACGCTCTTCATGGGGATTCATGATCATTTTAGTCACCTTCTTTTGGACATCTTCCAGCTTGTCAACATCCCTCTTGAATTTAGAGGTCATGAAGTCAAGAGACTTTTTGACTTCTAATAATCTTTATTTGTACCCCGCTACAATCTCTCCACAAAGGGACTTGGGGCGGCTCACAGATGCACTCCAAGTGCCACATGCAGACAAGAATACAGAAGTGCAAATACAATGACATAAGTATAATCAACAGCGTCCCTTTCTATCTGCTAACTCCTCAAAGAGACTTTTTATTCTTACATGATTTAGCCTTCCTTTACTTTCTCAGAACAAAGTATACCACCACTTAATCCTGGGACCTGCAGGGAGAGGTGGGTTGTTGTTATTGTTATTATTATTATTATGGGATGTTCAAAAGTGGGTACAGTCAATGCACTTTTATTTTCATCATTATTATGCCCTTCTATAACCCTATATATTTCTTTTATATACTACTGGAAAGACCTATTTGGCAAAATATTGATCATCGCCACTAACTTACTTAAATGAATAATAGTTACCTGATCAAGGAAGGCTTTTACTAGAGTGTCTTGATGGAGGACATCTTGAAAAACATTCCTGTAAAAATACAAAGAAGGACAACAGTTTGCTGATTTTTAAAAATAATAATACCACATGATATGTTGTCAAAGGCTTTCATGGCTGGAATCACTGGGCTGCCGTGAGTTTTCCGGGCTGTATGGCCATGTTCCAGAAGCATTCTCTCCTGATGTTTGGCCCACATCTGTGGTTGACCTCACAACCTCTGAGGATGCCTGCCATAGATGTGGGCTAAACTTTGGGAGAGAATGCTTCCAGAACATGGCAATACAGTCCGGAAAACTCACAGCAACCCTGCCACATGATAATTTGTAAAAAAAATTTGCATCACTAAAAAGAATGGAAAATTACCTCTAGAAATATCAGTTCTCTCATACTGGATGTAAAATAAAAAGCCAGAGAAGGAAAAAAAAGCTGCATGTCTAATTTGTCACTCTGAACAAAAACACAAGCTAAGACTAGATTATACCAGTTTGTAAGTTATAGGACTGACTTTCAAAAATATATCTATGTAGGTGTGTGAATACCAAACATATAAATAAGGTATTCTATATCAAAAGATCTCAGGGTAGAACAAAAACAACAAAGCAACATTAAACCGTTGTAAAGAGATTTAACACAATTACAAATGATTTAATAGGGTAAAGCAAGAGAAATCTATAATCCAGTCAATTCAAGCTATTGTCACTGGGCTGCAAAGGCTTGGTTAAGTGCTGGATTTTGGCACTGAAATGAGGCTCACTGGTGCCCACGGGTTCATTATTAAGCTTTTAATTTCCTCCACTCAGCTTCCATGTTCAGCTGCACGCCACAGGACTTCAAACTGAACAACTGAGAAAGCTGTTATGTTCCTGCACATATAAACTTGCATTAATGTCAAAAATTTAATTTGTTGTTATTCCTTGCTACTATCTTATGAGGAGGAAAAACCTAAACTTATTCCAGTCCATTACAAGTTAACTACACATGTTAGCTTATCAAAGAATCACAGCTCAGAAAAATGGTTTCCCCCTGACATTAAGTCCTGTCGTGTCCGACTCTGGGGTGTGGTGCTCATCTCCATTTCTGAGCCAAAGAGCCTGCATTGTTTGTAGACACCTCCAAGGTCATGTGGCCAGCATGACTGCATGGAGAGCCATTACCTTCCCTCAGAAGCAGTACCTATTGATCTACTCACAGTTGCATGTTTTTGAACTGCTAGGTTGGCAGAAGCTGGGGCTAATAGCAGAAGCTCAACCCATTCCCCAGATTCAAACTGCCAATCTCTAAGTTAGCACGTTTAACAGCTCAACGGTTTAACCTCTACACCACCAGGGGTATATAAAATGGGTATACAAATCAAACATTTACAGGTAATAAATAGGCTGATTTTCCATTGTATGAAGTACAGCTGAAGCATCGTCTGCAGAGTCCACTGTAAACATAGCACAACAGATCTGTGTAAATGCAGTCATACCGCCCACATGACCTTGGAGGTGTCTACGGACAATGCCGGCTGTTCGGCTTAGAAATGGGAGATGAGCACCGCCCCCCCCCCCAACTAGACTTAATGTCAGGGGAAACCTTTGCCTTTTATATACCATGTAAAAATTTCTCGGGGGGGGGGGGGAGATCACAAGTGGAAAAGGGTTAAGAGGCCTTCATCTATGGCAGAGGTGGAGAGCTATCGGTTTCCCAGATGTTGCTGAATTACATCTTCCACAATTCTTCTTCACTAGCAACCATGCTTCTTAGGAAAGGCAAACAAATATCCATTCAGATGGTATTTTAAAAAGGAAAGTGGGGGCAAACAATATAATATCATACATACAAAATGGATGAATGGGCACTAATATTTTTCAGTATTTCTGGAGAGTGCCCTTTTGTAAATTAGCAACATCAGTGAAATGGAAACAGGATTGGCAAAATGAACCTAGAGTTACATAGAAGCTGCAGTATTGCAGAAAGTCTGCGGCATTTACTGGTGAGACTTTGGCCCCGTGAGTGATATGTGGCTCTTCCCTCACATATACATACAAGTCAGGAGTGAAGCTTTCATCTGTATGAATAACAGTATCCTGAACCACGTCCTCGTCTGAAGTGGCTCTCCAAAATGCCGTAAGCTCGGATCTCATGTACCGCCGCTGATTATAGATATGTTCATGGCATGGAGGCATCTGTTTTACTGTGTTGACATCTACATCTATGTGCGTCGTAGGATACGGAGCATACATTACTTGGCGGAAAGGCAACACAAAGCTTCCGGTAACATCCTGTAACAGTGACAACAACCAGTGCCTGAGTTTTTATTATTTTCTTGAAGGTGCAGGAATTATGAAGAGCAGAAGGCATAATATGCAAGAAATATGTAAATAAATTTACTAATTCAGTAAAAAGAATGTAATCACAGTATGTTGGTATTTCATATAGAAAAGCAGTTAATACCTTCCTCTGCAATATGAGAATAAGTACCACTTGTGCAATTTAGACTATTATTACATGGATTTAGGGTTGTGCACTTAAGACTCACAAAGAGGTTAACATAATTAAAAGCAGTGGGATCACACAGTTAAACCTAGAAAATCTAGCATCACTTTCCTATTTTCAAACTTTGAAACACTTCCAATGTTACCAATTAGTTGAATCACCCCCAACACGCTATCTTGACTACTGGCCACCCTGTTTAGGAGTGGCTGGAATTGCCCAGATTGGTGGGGACAACTGTAGCCTCCTGCATATTATTGGACTGCAAGTTCCATAATCCTTCACTACTATGTTGACTAGTGATGATAAAAACCGCAACTCCACAACAGCTGGAGGGCCACAACCAGAGTTTTATTTGTTGGGAATGCTAGACAATATTTAGAAAAAAAATGGGTGAATGCTAGACAATGTGATAACTGTTGCAAAAACTGTATATGCTCCGTGAAGGAAGGAGCCAGTTATACCAATGGCTGATGAAGATCTGTGAATTAGGCAAGATGGACAAATTGACTACGCTATTAAGGAGAAATCTTTGATTTCAGGAAAAACTGGGACACTGTTTTACAACCACCACCGTGGGACTCTTGAATTAATATAGTATTGCCAAAAGTAGAAGTGTGATGATATCATTGCTTAAAGGAAGTAAACGAACAAGTGTTAATAATCATCAGAGAGTGGCAAGTTTATAGTTCTTTTTGGGGTTTTTTTTAATCTGGGTGTATATTTGTTTTTATTTTGTTGTTGTTGTTCTGTTCCATTGGACTTATCTCCAAGCAAAAACATTTATGACATGGATTAGAATTTGGATTCATGTATTCAAAACAGTAGGATAGGTCTTCTTAGAGAGGGAAAGAGAAGCTTTCTTTCAGTTCTTAAATTAACCTATATTAAGCAAGTAGATTTGAATGATCAGCTGTTTATCCTCAAACATTATAGACTTTTCTTGTGAAACTGCCAGAACCAGCTCTTCCCATATCTGTCGCAGATGGGGAAAAACTGTGGGGTTGCAGTTTGGTTCACCACACTGTTTGTGTTCTTGCTCCATTCTGAAAATATTGTGTATGACTGCTTTTTGAATGTTGGATTTGAACCACACTAGGTCAGAATATCCTTTGCTGAAAATGCAACCTTTTTTTAGAAAAGTCTTTCAGAATACACTTTACCAAACCTATTATTTAAACAAGTTTTATTGTGTTTTAATTTATTTTAATTAATTATTGCAGGAGCTTTAGGATAGTGATGTGTTTATTTGTCTATGTATTCTTGTATTTTGCTGTTGATGTGGTTAGTGTACTAATCAATAAATCTATCTATCTTAAAATGGGAACAATGAGGGCAGTACAGTTCTGGCCAACTGACATGTCCGAACGCATCTCCCCTTATATACCATCTAGGACCTAAAGATAGTCTGGGGAGGCCCTGCTCTCGTTACCACCTTTGTCACAAGTACGTTTGGTGGAGATGAGAGACCGGGCCTTCTCAGTGGTGGCCCCTCGACTGTGGAACGCCCTCCCTATAGATATTGGCTTGGTCACTCTCCTTTTAACATTTTGGAAAAAAGTCAAGATGTGGCTTTTTGAACAAGCATTTACAAATGCAGAGTAACTGACATAGGAAAATGGAACAACCAGACAATGATTCCGGACAACTTTTTTTTAACAACGAGACACTATGAATTTATATTTTATTGATTTGTTTAGTTTTTATTATATGTTATGTTTTAATTGTATTTATGACATTGTAAGCATTGAATTTTGCCCTGTTAACCACCTTGAGTCACCTACGGGCTGAGAAAGGCGGTATACAAATACAGTAAATAAATAAATAATAGTGACATTTTTTTCACACATTAGGGAACTGCTAATTCTGACTAAACTGAAAACCATGCTAGATAAAAAAACTATTAAAAACTATACTGGTAATTTCATGTTAGATAAATTACTTGTTCCTTCACTACTCTGAGAAAAAGTCTTCAGAGCTGTCAAATTACTGAAGTAATTTTGAATAATAAAGACAACTGAGTGCAGCATACGGGGTGCATCTATGTGTAGAATTAATTCAGTTAAATACTACTTAAACAACCATGGCTCAATTGGGTTTTACAAGGTCTTTAGCCTTCTTTTCCAAAGACTGCTGGTGCCTCACCAAAATACAACTCCCATGGAGCCATGGCAGCTAAAGTGTTGTCAAACTGCATTCATTCAACAGTGCAGACACCTCCGGGGAAATCTCAAACTTATAAGTATGCTATCTAATCACATACAGAGTAGGCATACTACACACAGTAGCATTAGAGAAAAGTAAATGGGGAGATTATAACCTTTTGATTGGTAAAGACACTCAGGTTTGCTGGGAAATGAAAGTGCTTACCTTGAGCAATCCTTGCACAAAAAGACCTGACTCGTACTTGAAAGAGGTTTCATTTCGGCAGAGCCTAGAACATTTCCGCTCAGCTGAAGTGAGAAAGAGGCACAGTGTCCGCACTATCTGTAAAACAAACATACTGTAATGCTGTAAGATGACCATCTAGTAAAGAAAAGAAAAGCCGACTGTAAGAACAGTTCTGCTGCCCAGCAAGTGGCCAGTTGTTTATTGTCTGTTACATATATTCCACAGCCAGTTCATCTTCTCAGTTTACAAAATGCATACATTCTTAGAACAACCCCGTTCATTTCACCAATAACTACCATTTTGTTGGCCTGCCATTTATGGACAAGATATGGTTTTGGCATCACTTAGGGAACATCAATATTCTAGTCCCACATTTCAAAACATCCACATTTCATCTGGAGTTCAATGCAACCTGAGCTCTGCCACATGCACAATGGAGGACCTTCTCACAGCAACACCAGAGGCACTCGAAATGGCCAGCTTCAGTGGTTCTCGTCTCGTGGGACCCCTGGTGTTTTGGCCTACAACTCCCAGAAATCCCAGCCAGTTTACCAGATGTTAGGATGCCTGGGAGTTGAAGGTCAAAACATCTGGGGACCTACAGGTTGAGAACCAGTGATTTAAGATAACATACTAGTCACCCCGTTAACTGTTTAGGATCATAATCAATGGAAGAAGCACTTACCTTATTCACTTTTTCTGCACTGCTACCTACAACGACTGAGCAACCACACGTCTGCAAGTGGGAACTGATGGCTCTGAAAATTTGGTAACAAATAAAGAATTGTGAAATATTTTACAACTGTTTAATGTGCTGTAATTGAGATGTTTAATATATTTAGTGAAGATATGATTTCAAACAAAAAAGTCACAAGCAGGCAATTAAATAATACAACAGTTGTAAGCCTAAACACAATTACAATAATCTCATTTTTTTGGCTTAGATGCATACATTTTTTTAAAAAATGTTAATTACTTCACTGAATTTTCAACTTGTCAAAAAAGCAGAAAAGATCACAGTTTTGCAAAGTACAGTATTAATAGTCTGCCCTCTCTTTTTATCAGTAGTCAGTTGTTCCAGTTACATTGTCTGATAGAAATCACATCAGTTTAATCCTATCTTTCAATATCATGAAAGATACTACATGATCTGAAGATATGGCCTGTAATCCACAAAAACATAAGGTGAAATATGGTGGCTAATCCTTAAAATGCCATTAGATTCCTCCTTTTTAAGGTCAAATGTAAAAAAGACAACCAGTTTTTACCTAGAAAGCATAAATCCAGGGCAGGGGACAAAGTGATATAATACACTGATCAATTGTTGCCTAAAGAACTAATATATTCACCATTTCCTTCAAAAATGAACCATTTCCAAGCATCCTCATTTAATATTTTGTGTCACCAAAGTACACAGAAAAGCACACAACATTTCACAATTATTGTTGATCTTATAAAGACATTCAAAAGTTTTTACCAACATGTAGTCTATCTACTCAATTTCCAAACCTTTGCTTTAACTTTTTGTTTTATAAAAACATGATAAAAACAGGTCATACTTAAGGAGGAAGCCTTCATGACAGCTATCTCCAATGTCGTCATCACTTAGAACTGTATCACGTATCTGGAATGGGATGAAAACAAGGACAGAAAGATTACTTCGTGAGTAATATCATATGTAAACACAGTATAAGTGATTACACCTCTGTGAACACAAAGGATATTTTAATGCAAATATTAGCTGTGAATCAAACAAAGAAGGAATTATCATCACCACCACCACCACCACCACCACTATTTTCATCAGATTTCCTGTAGACATTCTTTAAGGATCCTATGAAGGCATGTAAACCATGATTCAACTTTTCTGGGACTGAGTTTTTTTCCTCATTTCTACCTCATTTAACTGTTGTTATTGCTAATCAGGGTTAGCTGTTATTCAGTTTCACACTCTGGGTTGATAGGTGTATTAGTTGTCCATCAACCTAGTATTTTACAGTAGTATCACAAGTAAAAGGTAAAGGTTTCTGTTGACATTAACTCTAGCCATGCCCAACTCTGGGGGGTGGTGCTCATCTCCATTTCTAAGCCAAAGAGCTGGCATTGTTCGTAGACACCCTCCAAGGTCATGTGGCCAGAATGACTGCATTGAGTGCTGTTATCTATTGATCTACTCACATTTGCATGTTTTGGCAGAAGTGGGGCTAACAGTGGAAGCTCACCCCGCTCCCCGGAATTGAACCACTGACCTTTTGGTCAACAAGTTCAGCAGCTCAGCAGTTTAACCTGCTGCACCAACAGGGGGTCCCAGTACAAGTACCTCTATGGTAAGTCATGGTGTCAATCTTGAATCTCTTCCTGTACCAGGTCATACCATAATATTGTACCCAAAATACCAGAGCCAGCCCTCTCTCATTGTCACAGAACCCTATTCAACCTTCCATTCTCCATGGAAAGTTATTCCAACCCATCAACATAGCCTTGGTGATCTCTAGTAACACTTTAATGGAGGAACTGGGAGTTGAAATCTGGCTCGTTCTCCTTTCTCTGCCATTCAAGAAGGACAGTATGGACCCCTACTCTCCATGTCTCTTCTCTAGGACTCTCAAGCAAAACTAAACAGCTTGCACATTGTGTGCCAGTAGGGTGAAAAAGGAAGTCAACCAGGGCCAGGAACTGGTGTGGCAAATTCTTTTTGTGGCATTGCCTTTAAAGAGACTTTTTCCTTAACAGATGAAATAATTTTATTAGATAGTCATTCACCATCTCTAAAGGTCTCACTCACTACAGTCTGTAGTGATTCATGACAGAATGAAGAGTGGACACGATCTGAGAGTGTATTTGATGTTTCAATGCTAACAGAATTTTGACTTTTTCCTCTTTCTACTGCTGTTCTGCTACTACCAGTTTCCAAGCCCTTTGGAACTAGTTTTACTGGAAATTGGGGAACAGAGAGAATGATTTTTTTTTTGTACACCACTGGATTCTAGCCACAAACTTTAACTCTAAAGTCAAACAGAATGGATTAACAGCAGGGTAAATTAGTACAGAAGATGAAGAAAAGCACACTATTTTATCATACATTCCATGGTTAAAGTTGGCATGGACTCAAGCAAGATCAGGTGCAGAGAATAAAATGTTCAAATGTTACGTAATCTAAATGTGCATATCCTTGGAAGTTCTGCATCCACATCTACATATCTATATTTGTTTTGCTGCCATCTTGAAATATCCCAACATCCTTGTGATCTTACCACCGAACTTTACCTATAATGATAGGCATACACTTTTGTAAACATTTGGCAAGCATTTTCATCAGGTGCTCCCGGTGGCGCAATGGGTTAAACCTTTGTTCCAGCAAGACTGCTGACCGAAAGGTCGAAGGTTCGAATCTGGGGGGTGCGGTGAGTTCCCATGTGTCAGCTCTAGCTTCTCATGTTGGGGACATGAAAGAAGCCTCCCATAGGATGGTAAAACATCAGGGTGTCTCCTGGGCAATGTCCTTGCAGACAGCCAATTATCTCACACCAGAAGCGACTTGCAGTTTCTCAAATCGCTCCTGACACACACATAAAAAGCAATGTCATCAATTACAATTGAAAAATTGTTGCATGCATTGTATGTCCAGAAAAGATAAGATGGTACTACTGTGCAGTATTGGAAGGCTAGAAGCATATTGATTTATGAGCTTTAATTTCTTATACCAAAAGGGAATAGAATAGGAGAGCTGCCTTCTTTCATGATGAAGGGAGCAGAAGGACTTACATCTATTTCTTCTGGAACGCTGTGTGATTTCATAGATGAAAGGAGTTCCATTACTGGAATAACTTCCCCTGTCAGCATTGGGATGATGCTCTGGCCCTGCACCATAAATAATATTGGATGAAATAAAAACCAGAGAATGTGCTATAAAAACAGGATATGGGAAGACTGAACACTTTCAGAGGAGAACAAGAAAAAAATGTAGATTTCTCTGGACACGGTTTCAGTTTTGTTCCAACATAGTAGGTATGGGCAAACCCAGGCGCGGGGACCATATGCGACCCCTTGGGCTCTTATCCCAGGCCCTCCTCTCCCTCATCATCCTATCCTTCCTTCTCTTTCTTTCCTTCCTCCTCCTTTCTTCTGCCCTTCCACCCTTTTGTCCTTCCTTCCTCTTCCCTCCCTCCCTCACCTCCCTTTTTCTCCCTCCCTCCTTCCCTTCCACCTTTTGTCCTTCCTTCTTTCCTTCCTTTCACCCTTTTGTCCTTCCTTCCCTCTCTTTCCTTCCTCTTTCCCTTCCTTTCCTTCCTTCCTTCCTTCCCTCTTCCTTCCTTCCTTCCTTCCTTCCTTCCTTCCTTCCTTCCTTCCTTCCTTCCTTCCCTCCCTCCCTCCATCCATCCATCCATCCATCCCTTCCACCCTTTCATCCTTCTCTCCCTTTTGTCTTTCCTTCCTTCTCTCTTTCCTTTCTCCTTCCCTCTCCCTTTCTCCTTCCTTCCTTCCCTTACACCCTTTCTCCTTCGTTCCCTCTTTCCTCCCTCCTTCCCCCCTTCTCTCTTTCCCTTCCATCTTCTCTTCCCCCCTTTCGTCCTTCCTTCCTTCTCTCTAGCATGTGCCCCCCCCCCCCCCCAAGTAAGAAAGTTTGCCCATGCCTGCAATATAGCAATCTAGAAAAGGAAGCAAGTTAACCAAGAGTATGATTTGGATATTTTAAAGATTTTCCAACAGAGCATCCACTATAGCTGGACTGTAATTAGTAAATAAATGTATGGCTACCTTTACAGATCATCAAAAAGGAAGGAACTGTCTAGATCTTTAACAATTGATGGTTCTTCATGTCCATTGTTAGTAAATCCTCTCTAAGCCAAAGACAACTCAAAGTTTGGGATTGACGGTTCTTTCACCCGAGAGATAAATGCCCTAATAAAACCTTCTATTTTGATGGGAGGTTGACAGTACCGTCAATCTCAAGAAACTGCCTCCTTCAAAATCACTCTTAATTCATCTGAATCATTTCAGAACAATGACAACATACTATGCTGATGTCTTTTTTTTTACTACAAAATGGGTCTGCTGGGAGAAATGTGTTTTCAACTTTGCTCAGTGTCTTATCACATCTTCCTGTGAAATGTTTACTCGTACACATTTCAGGAATAGCCATTTCAGGGTTTGAAGTACCAACTTCTACATATGGCTTGTAATCCAATGAGTTCATAGGCTTCCCAATTAAATCGAAAGGATTGACGTTGTACTTGGGTGTTTGTTATGTGCATCATTCTTACCTGATCTTCCATTCTCTCCGTACCTTCCATAACAGCCTTCTGAAAATGTTCTTGTCTTTCCTAAGGAAGAAATGAATTTTCAGTAATAGGTAGATAGGTAATGAAACAATGAAACATGACATCCACAGGCCAATTAAATTAAAGACTTCTTTGGGTTCAAATTGCAGGAAAGGAGATTCTACCTGAGCATTAGGAAGAACTCCTGACCCTAAGAGATATTCAATAGAACTCTCTGTCTCGAAGTGACAAACTGTGTGACTGTATGTTCAGACAAACACACACAATGTTGTGCTGTACAATGAAAACAATAAAGATAAAATCTAGAAATACTATTATATCAAATCTCCTCTCAACATGAATGAAATAGTTAGAACAGCAAGGGTATGATGGGGATTATTTTGAAACTGCTTTGTTTGGTTTGACACTTCTCTCTAAGTGTGCTATTTTATAGGCCATGACAAAAGACAATGCCAGTGTCCTACCTTATGCATCCAAATCCTTCCTTTCCTTATAATGTGTGTCAATCTGTCAACACATACTCTGTGAAGGGGAAGGTAGAAACTAAGCTCACTTTGTGGAAGTATTATCGAAAGTCCGTAAGTGCTTCTGTCCCCGTTCCAGTTCCCATCGAAAATTAAGGACACAATGATGACTCCTTTCTCAGCCAGAACAAAAAACTTCACATCTATTGCGCCACTTTCTGCATTACGAAGTATTTCTCCATTCAGAGTATGGTTTGCAAGAAATATTATTTCTCCATCGCTGAGAAGCTGCTGCTCGGCCTTGGGAGCCCAGATGTGTCTGACCCTGGGGCCAAGAATATTATCCCAATACGCAAAGGTAGCAGCCAGCAGTGGCGACTCTCCGCTCAACGCAATCTCTGTCTTGGCCACCGCAGGGGAAGGAGGAGGACATAATGCCGACATGGTGGCCTCCGCTGTCACATCACCGGAATCGAAAACCTAAGAAAGGAGGTTGAAGTGTAAAGAGTTACTACAGGGGACTCTATTGACATAAACCATCTTAGGAATTTAAGCTTTAATGTGACCTTTCCCTGCAATGCGTTGCTGTGACCCAGTCTGTGTATATGTGTTTTGTGTGTATATATATGAGTGTATATATTTGTGTATTGTGTGTTTGCTTATATATATGTGGTTTTGCACATGCGTTGTAATGTATTTTTGTTTTTTTTTCTTTTTAAGTCTCTTCTGTTGTGTTTTTCCATGTTTTTATGAGTAATGGTCACTTGTTGGCCTGATATGTGTATTGTGTCCAAATTTGGTGTCAATTCGTCCAGTGGTTTTTGAGTTATGTTAATCCCACAAACAAACATTACATTTTTATTTATATAGATGTGTGGAAGAGTATAAAGCTGGGAACAGTCAATGTAACAATGCAATTGTATATTAATTTTTAATTAAAAATTAATATATAGGAAAAAGTGTATCTTAGATTTGAAGAAATACAGTATATATGTGTGTGTGTGTATGTATATGTATATATATATAGATATTGCACTCATGTCTACGTTAAGAAACTGGGAAGTGCAAAAAACACCGACTGGCTTTCTTAACTTTCCATTTCCCCATCAATAGCTTTAAAGTTTTCACCCACTTCTGTTTTTTTGTGCTAAATAAAACCAAAGCATCTCCACTTGGCCTTTGGTGTTGCAAACTGAGGAGGAAGACATGTGGACATGCAATAAGGAGGAAGTTTCGTGATAAAAGGAAGTTCCATGTATTCAACACAATTTTGCGGCCGAACACTGATTTTCCACCTATGCAACAATGGATCATGTGCTTGGCTGGAATGTGAAAGTCTTTACATGTGAACTTGAAATAAACTTCTGCAGTAATTCTATTTTGAAGTTATTTCTAAAGGGAAGAATGTGGCCCTAAAAGTAAAAAACACAGGGGAAAAGAAGCATCAATCTTTAGATAGGTTGTAACTTCATTAGTCTGAATAGGCTGAAGTGTATGAAAAAAAGTAAGAGTAAGGAAATAAATAAAAATGACACTGGGTATGAAATTACATTGACTGAAATTTCTGATAATTTGGATTATATGGTAATGTAGAAGGGGCCTTGGAACTCTCCTGAATGATCCATTCACAACTCAATTGTAAATACAATACAAACAGACAGGCCATGTATACAGTATAACATCATAGAAACCCACAATTACAGTATTTCTTCAGATCTAAAACACACTTTTTTCTCCATATAAACATAATAATAATAATAATAATAATAATAATAATAATAATAATAATTTTATTCTTGCATCATGTCACCATCTCCCTGAAGGGACTTGGGGCGGTTTACACACAGCACAAACTGCCTAAAAACAGAACATAATTTTTGTGTGTGTGTCAGAAGCGACTTGAGAAACTGCAAGTCGTTTCTGGTGTGAGAGAATTGGCCATCTGCAAGGACATTGCCCAGGGGACCCCCGGATGTTTCCCCATCCTTGTGGCAGGCTTCTCTCATGTCCCCGCATGGGAGGCTGGAGCTGACAGAGGGAGCTCAACATCTGAACCACTGACCTATCAGCCAGCAGTTGTGCCAGCACAAGGGTTTTACCCATTGTGCCACCGGGGGCTCCAGAAAATAAAATGAAAACTATTTAAAAATAGAATTAAATTAAACATATAAGCATAAAATAACAAGAAACAATTAAAAACAGCACTCATTACCAACGGGGCAAGCAATCGAACTGGGAATGGGAGAAGTACAGTGCTGTAACCATGGAAAGAGGGCATGGATAAAGTGTAAGGCTGCATAACAATTGTGTAGGTCAACTAGGGACCAGGTGTTCTCAAGCCAGGTCTTCAGTCCCCTACAGAAGGAGGACAGTGTGGGGCCTTGCCTAATCTCCCTGGGGAGTATGTTCTTGAGTATGTTCCTGAGCAGGGGGCCACCACCAAGAAGGCCCTCTCCCTCATCCCCACCAACCATACTTGTGAAGGTGGTGGGACCTCGAGGAGGGCCTCCCCAGCAGATCTTAGCGCCCACGCTGGTTCATAGGAGTTATGTGGTCACGTCTCTAAACTTGGGGTGCATCTTAGGCATTTTGTTGATATTAGTGGAACTGAAATTGTTTGCACCTTGGAATCAAAGAAATACACCACGATATTATCTAGGATGAGAATCTCTTATCTCAAAATCCAAAATATTCCAAAATCACCCAGATGGGTGGCTGGAATAATGACACCTTTGTTTTCTGATGTTTCAATGTATAGTAAATGTTTGATTTATACCCAATATGAGTCAAAATATTGTGTATAAAATGACCTTCAGGCTGCGTGTATACGATGTACACAAAACCTACATGAGTTTTGTGTTTAGAATGGCGCCTATTGCCAAGATATCTCATTGTATTCAGTCAACCTTCCGTATCCATGGATTCGACCATCCACAGCTTTTTAAAAATATCCCAAAAGCAAACCCTGATTTTCCTATTTTATATAAGAAAAGCCATTGAATAGAATGGGACCTTGGGTATCTATAGATTTTGGTATCCAAGGACCAAATTTCAGGGTGCACTGGGCATGAAAAAATATTCCAAAATCTGAAAACAAACAAACATGAAATCCCAAATAGGAAAATATTCAAAAATCTGAAAAACAAACAAAACATGAAATCCCAAATAGGAAAATATTCCAAAATCTGTAAACAAACAAATATAAAATCCCAAATAGGAAAATATTCCAAAATCTGAAAACAAACAAACATGAAATCCCAAATATTTTTGGCCCCAAACATGTCAGAACCCCAAACACACTGCATTGTACATATTCTATTACAAACACAGCTCTTGTTATAAGGGACCTGCCTCGATTGGGAAGCAAAAGAGCCCCCATGACCTCCCGCACAGAAAAAAAAGAGCGGGAGTGGGGACGAGAAACAGAGAGACTCACCCTCAGGCGTTTAACGGAGACGCCCGAACCCCTTTCCTTGCCGCTCTGGCTGCCTGACCGAGCCCCTCCCCCTCCTCCTCCTCCTCCTCCTCCTCCTCTTCCCTCCTCCCCTCCGGAAACGTCACCCGCCTCCTTCCTCACCTGTCTGCGCAGCCGCAGAGACTCCCTGGAGAGGGCACATTACGGCACGCCCCTTCTCCCTTGAAAGCTCATTTGCATAAACACACAGGTAATCTCTCACTGCGCCTGCGCATCCCTCCGCCTGCTGTCCTCCATCGAAGTTTGCTCATTCGTTCTTCTGTGAAGGGAGAAGGGCGGTGGGGGGAGGAGACTGATGACGTCAGGTTCTGACCCAAGAGATTAATCAATACTTTTCACAGAGCCACCGCTCACTTCCGGTTCGCGTACGCACTCAGCGAAGAGGGCAGTGCAGGGATCTATTATTCTTGTTCCTCCCTCTGCCATTAGGAACCCGAAGTCTTTCTAAAAACCAATTGAGCCTGCTCTCTTTGAGCCTGACGAGGCTCCGCCCCCTAAGTTGTTTTTCATCACAGGCAAACTGGCTTTTAAGTGGATCCATGCTCTGGTGTGATGAAGTCTCTACACTGTAGAATCAATGCAGTTTGATACCATTTTAAACTGCCATGGCTCAATGCTTACTGGGAGTTGTAGTTTTACAAGGTCTTTTTGGGCCCTGTAAAACTAGATCTTGTTGATCCAGCCTTAGCTTCCTGTCTCCTGCACTATGATTCCATATACTTGACTGGAAGTACCTGTCTCGACTTACATACAAATCGAACTTGCAAAACCTATCTTGTTTGTAACTCGAGGACTGGCTGTACTGCTTTCCCTGAGCAAGGTCTCTGAACACTGCCACCTAGTGGCTGCTTCAGACATTTACAGGAATCTGTGAGCAACATCAAGTGCTTGGTGTTTCTTTTAAAAACCCATTAAAGGAATTTTCAATTTTAATCAAAGTGGTGTCAGGCTGCATTATTTCTACAGTTTAGATAGAACATTAGAATTATCTGCCAAAGAGCTCTAGTGCACGGTTGTGTCATGAGCGACTTGAGAAACTGCAAGTCGCTTCTGGTGTGAGAGAATTGGCTTTCTGCAAGGACGTTGCCCAGGGGACGCCTGGATGCACTGTAGAATTAATGCACGTCACTTCTGGTGTGAGAGAATTGGCTGTCTGCAAAGACATTGCCCAGGGGATGCTTGGATGCAGGCTGCATCTGCACTGTAGAATTAATGCACTAGCACTAGAAGGCAAAAAACTTTGTAAGGCTGTGTTGACGTAATGTAAATCACGTGTAGTTCATGTTTTATTAGTCCACACACTGTTTTGCCAAAGAAAATATATCACACAAATAACGCAGAACAACATATCATGAGATCAGTTGCGTTGACTCACATAATGTCTTTTTAGAGAGATATAAATGGGCTGTTGCTGTCCATGTGGAGAATCTCCTCCCAGCAGCTTATGAAGCAAGAACTCTCTCTCTCTGCAAGCACTTGCATAGCTCAAGCCCAAATGTGAAACTGTTGTCAGAATTCCCAGTCTCAGCTAGCTCCCTGCACATGGCCCAACCAATCAGTTGTGCGTGCCTTGCATGTTACAGTTACATGCCCTAACAGGAGCCCCTGGTGGCACAGTGGGTTAAAGCGCTGATCTGCTGAACTTGTTGACCGAAAGGTCGCAGGTTCGATTCCGGGGAGTGGCATAAGCTTCCGTTGTCAACCCCAGCTTCTGCCAACCTAGCAGTTCGAAAACATGCAAATGTTCTGTTGCCGCTGGGCTTGAAACAAAGTGCTTTTAAAACAGGATGTGCAACTTTAGCCCAACGGGAAGCCAGGGGCTCTGAAGAGAAGCCCTTAGAGAATTGAGCTTAAATACAACAAAGTCTTTTATTGATGAACAATTAAACAGGTATTACAAGGCTTTCTTGATAAAGTATTGGTTCTCTCAATCTTGTCCACAGGGGACAGGCACTATCTTCAATAAAGTTTTCTTTAAAGGAAAATTCCCCTTTCTAGCTTCTCCCAGGCTAACTGTGAACCTAGACCTGACTGATGTGAATCCACTAATGGGCTGAACTGTGTCTCAAAACCGAGTGGACGTACCAGTAGGTCTGTAGTCACTTTAGCTGGAGATCTTGATGTTCAAAGCTGTTATTCCCTCCGAAATTCCTCAGGGCTGTAAGGCTGTTTTCCCAGAACCTTTGGGAATCTTTAGATGCTCTTAAGACTGTTCTCCCCCGGGAAGTCTTAAGGGTTTAAGCCTTTGTACAGGAGAAAGTCTGTACACGTCCTGTACATTGACTTCCTAGCTGAGACTAACTAAGAAATGGCTCCCTTCCCTCCAAAGCCCAAAAGGGGGGTGGAACTAGGGAACCCAACAATAATTGACAGGTAGCTTGCCCTATGACTGCAGCCAAAAGAAGCCACCTATCTGCAGAGTCCCTGAAACTTAGGACTACAAACAAACATTCAATGCAAAGCAAACAAAATTAGAGCTCATGGTACAGCTGTTCCAGAACAGCAAATGTGAGTAGATCAATAGGTACCGCTCCGGCAGGAAGGTAAGGGCGCTCCATGCAGTCATGCTCAGCCACATGACCTTGGAGGTGTCTACAGAGAATGCCGGCTCTTTGGCTTAGAAATGGAGATGAGCACCAACCCCCAGAGTCGGACACAAATGGACTTAATGTCAGGGGAAAGCCTTTACCTTTACCTAACAGACTACAACTTCCAGGGAGCCATAAGATTGAGCCATGGCAGTTAAATGGTATCAAACTGCATTAATTCTACAATATAGATGCACTCCTAGTGGTACTCAACTTTCGATCCTCTGATGTTTTGGGCTGCACCAGTACAGCCAATATCCAGAAATTCAGGGAGATATAGTCCCAAACATCTAGATGCAGCAATAACCATTTAAGTGGAATCATAGTGCCATAATTGTGTTGTGTGTACGCATCCCTGGTTACCCTGAATCCTACCATGGCATTCAAACTGCTTACAAAACTAGTAATAGATGCCACTAATAGATACTGTATGAAAGTATTTATTGGCAAGCTGTTATGTGCAAAACCTACAGCTGGCAGCAAAACATAAGCTGGGTAACTCACGTAGAAGCTAATTAAAAGAGGAACAAAATAAAAGGAGGGAGCTTAATTGAAGTTGTGCCTGTAGGCGAGGCAAAGGAAGCATTTCGTTCATCTATGCAGAAAAGGAACAGCAAAAGGATGAAATCCAATGATGTTGCTCTGCTGATGCAACTACCTCCATCTGGAGCATTGGGAAGAGGGTAGTGCTTTGCTCCCTTGAATTTCATGGAAATCAGGAGCATTATTCAAAGCATGATTCTTCTGCATGGGTACAAGCCCATTTTGAACTTGGGTTGTCCTCTGCTTCTCACTGAAAACTGGATAATGCTAGGTGTGTTATTTTTTTGGGGTTTTTTTTGCATTTCCTCCCTTCTTGATACTCAAACTCACTGTTTGGCTCCCTGACAAATGCCACAGTGGATGTGTTGTTTTTCCTGCTTCTCTTTTCAACAACAGTTCCAGACAGGCCCTATATCCCAGGATCTGATCCCAGGTTTTCTGTTTATCCCAGATTATCTGGCAGTGCAGACTCATATAATCCAGTTTAAAGCACAAGGGCCTTAAGTTTTACAGCATTGTGAAATAGCACGAGCAACAGATTTCAGAACAAAATTAGAGACAGAGACCCCTTCCCCACATTTTCTGTTTTAACTGAAATATATGGCAGTGTGAACTCAGATAACCTAGTGCAAAGTAGAAAATCTGGGTTGTATGGATGTGTGGAAGAGCCCAGAGATGACTTCCCCAGCAATTTATCAGATCATATATGCCTGCATTATTTAGCATGCTGCAAAAGAAAGAAATGTTGTACTTTGAAATGAGAGAGAATCTTCTGTATAGATCCTTCTTCTGCTATAGTGGTTAGCTAGGGCCACAGATAAGAGGATCCGTGCCTGGTGCGCTTATGCTAAACCAAATGGGCTAGGATAGAAAGAGAACTCACCAGGTTGAACACAAGCCACAGAGGTTTAATAGAATTCATCCAAAAGGGATCCAAGTACTAGCAAGATTTTTTAAATGTATAAGCATAATATATAGATGAAAGCAAGACATATTATACAGTGTGAAAGCTATTCAAACCTTCCACTCCCTCTTCTGATTGGCTGAGTGAGGCGCTGGTCAAGATCTGTACCCTGATTGGTTGGAAGCTCCGCTGATGTTGCCACCTGCATGCAGGGATTCCCTTGGCAGGGAAAATGACAGCTGAGGATTGGTTGGGCGAGGAACCAATTAGCTGGTGTAATGCCCTGGGAGGAGGCGTAATTCAGAGAGACAATGTCAAAGAAATGTTAGTAAGCTTTTCATTAGCTCAACTGTCCAGTTCCATGTTGAACAAAGATTTGAACTTTAGGAAACAAAGGTGCAAGACTCCTGGAACAATAGTGAAGATCCTGGGTCTTGGCTGTCAATACAAGAGCTAATAAATGTACATACCCTAAGCTTCTGTTTCTGCAGGCAGCAATTTTTCAGTTTCAGGTAAACCATACAGTTACACAAACAGTTTTGCGTTTATCTGAGTTGTCACAGGAAGTCACCTGTCTTTGCATAAACGTGGACAATGGGCCCAATGATTACCTGGCTTGGGAAATGGCCAGTGGGCTTTGTCCAGCCTCCTTGTTACCAGGAAATTATCTCTGTGAGGTCATGGAGGGCTGACTGTCTCTGATACATTTTATAAAAAAGTTTCATATATACATTTTATATAAGAAATAGATGCAGTATATAGTCAAAGGATACAAGTTACACAGAAAATCATGAAAATAGATACAATTTATTGAAGGGTTGGAGACGATAAAGAATTTGGGGGGTGAAGCTGCCTCTGGTCCACTTCCTGTCTCCAGGAAAGGTTTAGAAGAAGAAAAACTTGTGTAATTACTTCTGAGCTCTTGGTGAACTATAAATCTTTGGGGGGTTTTTTAACCGTGGCTCAATTACACTACTAGGCAACTGCTTAGCAATGAAAGAAGTGACAGTCATGTTGATAGAAACTAGTACTGAGAATGGTTTTGAAAAAAAAACTCTGTGAGAAGTAGAGGATGTGAAACTTTTACCCACATTTCCAACAAACAAAACGTTTTTTTTGGTGAATCTTTCCATTTTCTCAAGAGAAGTAAAACTCATTTATGGAAGTACAACTAAAATTTGGTTTTGCTGAAGTCTATTAAGCCTAGCATCTTACTTTAGTACTTAACTAGTGACTGTTCTTGGATAGGTAGCCAAAAC